TAGATCACTCCTGTATAGTAGTCCAGGCCCCGAGCCAGGCTTAGATCAAAGGAGATCTGTGGGAACAATGCTCCAGTCAGCACCAGACAAGACTCAGGACCCTGAGGAACCCAGGGCTCAGCAGGAGGTCCACACCAACTCAGCTTACCTTCTCTGCAATTCCAAATAAAGTCAGATATTCATAGAGCAGCTTCAGGTCCCTCAGGCCCTCTAGAGCCTGCTTGCTCTGAGATAGTCTGGGATCCTGGAACATCTGCTCTACCAAGGACACCCCACCTGGGAGACAGGTGAGGAAAAATAAGGTCTGTGCTATTTGCCCAGATGTTTCAACCAAATATATCTCTAGTGTGTTCAAGCTAGTCCTCCTCATTAAAAAAAAAAAAAAAAAAAGATACAGGTCTCACATGACTAGACTCTCCTTCTCTGCCTCTACCTTTGCCATCTGGAGATACAACATAGTTATGATAAGTAAAAGGGGAATTAAATTAAGGCAGGCTCTGAAGCTTAGCACATCTACAGAAAGCTGCTATTTCAGAGGTATTAAGTTGTACACATATCACCCTCACTCTGATTCTATCATACAGCTTTGAAACTCTGGTTCTTACCATGACACTGGACATAATCCCCAATTCGATCAGCCACTTCAGGAGCCAGGCCTTTCTGTGCCACCATCTCATGTCTCACATCCTTCCAAGATATCTGCACAAATACTGAAACATGAGCGCAGCCCCACAATCCTTCCTTCTCTCGCTGGGAAAAGACACCTCACTTTCATTCAGTATGGATGTCACCCGTAGGTAATGCTAAACTCAGCAAAGTCAGCAGAGTCAGAGGCAACTTAGGAAATCCAGTCTCAATCCCTACCACACAACAAAACTCAGATCTCTCTCCCTACCTTCCTCACTTCCAGCCACCGTCTCCTTATTTTTCTCTGGGGGTACAGATTTGAAGGCAGGGCAGAAACTCTGATAGGGTCTACTGAAGCATGTCTTCTTTCTTACCTTGTCTAGTTTGTCTATGGAGGAGCAGGTGGCGCGGAACTTGCTTTCAGGAACACCACAGACGGCAAACATCCCATCTAAAATCCGCCGGTCACTGACCTGTAAACTCAATGGAAGTAGCCCAAGTGCCTTGTCAATGCCCTTTCTCTCAAAACCATGACAGTCCCTACTCTCCTGAGTCATAAAAGAGATAGAAAGGAAATTTCACAGGATGACTATTTAGATATATATGAAATGCAACAGCTGTTCTAAGGCCAGGTACATGCCAGGAACTAGTCGAAGTGCTTTAAGTATACTATATACTAAGATCTCCACTATGGGGACACTGAGGCACAGACAGTTTACTTGCTCAGGAGTAATAGCCAGTAAGTGAAGGAAACAGAATTCTGATCCAGCAAGCCTAGTTCCAAGAGCCTCTTAGGGACCAGGAACATTTAGTTAATCCCTTCCTGTAATGAAAAAAAAAGCACAGCACAGCCCTAGCCAGGTAGCTCAGTTGGTTAGAGCATCACCCTGATACACCAAGGGTGCGGGTTTGATCTCCATCTTAGGACAGCCTCAAGCCAAATCCAGACTTCTCTCCTCTGTCCCTGCCCTGACCTCACCTTAATGAGAAAGTCCCCCAGCTGCAATCCACTTAGGATTTCACAGATGATCTTCAAACACTCTGCATCAGGGATCATAGGGTCAAAATGACCAGCAATGTCAAAATCCTACAGCAAAGAAAAAGGCAGAAAAATGCTCCATTGAGCAGCCGGGTCCCAGGTTGCAGTCCCAAGAATTATCAAACCATGCTGTCTCAAAAAACACACACACACAACAAAACACATGCTGTCTCCTTCAGGTCACTTACACACTGGCAGAACTCCCTGTAGCGGCCTTGGACCACGGTTGGGCTCTCCCGCCGCCACACCTTTCCAACATGGTAGCGTTTCATCTTCTTCAGTTTATTCATGGCCATATAACGCGCAAAAGGGACCTCACACAAACAGGTTAAGGAGAAAGGACACTGCATCCAAAGCTTAGGTCCAGTGTAAGGACATTAGGGAAGACTGGGCTTTATCAATTGGATCTCATCCACTAGGAAGAGAAGAAGCACCTTCTCTGTCTTGTTTCCCACTATCCCCAAGGCCTAGCAGTACTTGGCATTCAATACATGGCGTGGGCAAAGGTAGGTTTACAGTAGTGAGTACACACAGTTTATTCTTGTATTGTTTATTAATTATTGTATTATTTATTTGTATTACAACAGTAAATCTACTTTTTCCCCACCCCTGCATATCAAAGAGTGTCAAGTGAAAGAATCCTACCTAACAAAACTACAAGTTCAGTAGAAAGAAAGGGAAGCAGAGACAGAAATGACCCAAGAACTTAGCCCTGGGCCATTCCCTCCCATTCAGATCAATGTTCGGCCATCTCAAAATAGTCAAGCTTCAGTACCTCGATTTGCCTACAACTTCCATGTTAATATCAGTATTTCTTGAAGCATAGAGCAAGGACCATCTGCATCTTAATTACCCAGGTGCCTATTAGAAATGCATACCACTGAACCCCATTCCAGCTACACGATCAGGAATATCTGGACCTGGGGGCCAGAAATCTGTGTTTCTGCAAGTTTCCCCGAGGGATTCTGATACACATTAAAGTGAAATGCCAGTGCTCCAAGCCAAGCTCTGCTGGCAGAATTGCCTTCTGGGAGAAACTGGAAGTAAACCCTGCTGCCAAGAGAACTACAGGGTCCCAGAGTCACTCTCATCCCTTTTGTCAGACCAAGACCTCGATCTTGAAAAGAAGCAAGCCGGCCTCCAGCACTCAGAAGGATACAGTGAGGTCATAGCGCAGGGACAACAGCTCTCCCCCCTGATCCTTCAGATCATAAATGAGCCTGGAGTCCTCTCCATACTTCTCAGTGAGCATGTCCTGCAGGGGTCAGACAGAAAGTGCCACATTCCAAAGGAGGACTCCAGAGCACAGGCTAGAGCCCTTCAGGAAACTGAAGGCAGGTGAAAAAAGGGAATTCTGACACTTTTTCTCCACTTACCTTTAGCTCAAATGCTGGAGTATCCAACCCTTTTGCTCCATGACGTTTAAAGCAGCTAACAATTACATCGAGTATCTTCTCCCTCACAACCATCTGCTGGGGACTAAGATCTCTGGTGCCCTAAAACCCAAAAGCAACCATGGTGAAAACAAAGACAAAAAAACAAGTTTATTTAAGGCAAAGAGTTAAACTACATCTGGAATCTAAAGCACGCAGTTGAAATCTCTTTGAGTTCAGATAACTCTAAGTGCTAGTATCTCAAGAATTGTGAAGATTTTTTTTTCTTTTAGTCTAAAAGGACGTTCAAATGGGTCAGGAAAAGACAAGCAAAACAGAGGGCAGTCCTCCAAGGCACTCTAATGGAATAGGATGGGGCAAAGCAAATTACCTTGGGAGTCTTGATAATCAAATTTGATTTCTCTTGATGTGGTTTCAGCTGGGATGTCAGCACTGCCTCTGCAACCTGGCAGAAGAAGAAACGTGGGATGTGCCCCTCTCAAGGCTAGCCAGACCTGTGACATCTCTAGCCCTGTGACCACCAACCTGCAAAGAGCTTTGGCCCATAGCAAAAGGAAGCCTGAACACTATTTTATCTATCCCAGTCTCAGCCCCACTCCAAAAACCCATGTTGTATCTACAATATATATGTAATAACATACAAGCTTTGTCTGAAAAAGTTTAAGTATTCAAGAACACTGAAGGCAAAGAACAACCCACTACTACCAACACCAGCCCTCTAGGGGTAGGGATTAGTGTGATCTTTTCCAGGTCCCAGTTCCTATTCAAAGAGTGAAAATAAGAATATTTAATAAGGTAGCACTGAAAAAGTAATACAAAGACAGAAGAGAGCCAGCCTATGGACGCAGAACATGCGTTGGAATGAAAAGGAATGGATTCCCTGATGGAACTAAAAAAACAGACTGATAGGATGCTATGACGGAAAATTAACAACAAAAGATCTGAGCCCTGTTGTTCCTGATAGGATAAAGCATCTGCTATAAAGACAATAGAATCTTTCCTAACGTTAAACAGAATCAGTGATTTTGTGTATTACCAGCAGGTTGTATGACCTTCCAGAGATATAGAGGATGTGGTAGTTCTATACTTTGGCGGATTCTCTCCTCCAAGTTAGGCAGTTCAAGTCCACAATCCCTTCTCTGCAATTCCAAAATCCAAAAACCTCTGAAAACCGAAAATGGTGTGGGCTGTTTTTTCTTTTTTGAGACTCATCTTGAGATAAATTTGAATGTGAACTGTATGCAACTTATGGTTGCTAATCATCTCAGTGGGAATATTCATTTATTTTGCTTAAGGAATTTTAGTATGTTTGACCTCAACAGGTTCATATAAGGGATAGTGGACCTATATTAAAATGCTCCCTTACTACGTATCAATAGGTAAATCATTTAACCTTGCAGTCTCTGTTTCCTCAACTGTAAATGCAAATAATATTCTCAACCTCTCAGGATTGCTATGAGGATTAAATGACAGAGAATCTAAAACGCTTAGCTCCGTACATGGTGGGCACTCAGTGAAAAAACAATCCTGTTACTACTCGAGTACATGCCTGGAGTTCATGCTTTCAGATCTGGAGATCCTGCCCTGACAAAGGAGATATCTCAGGCTGGCTCACCTGGCTATGAGAATGGACCGCCCGGATGCACACAACTCGGGGAGGCCGCAGAAGCTGGCCAAGCAGCGCAGCCCAAACCCTCCCATGCAGCAGTCCGAGCTGGGGCATCGTGCGGCAGGAGGCAAAAGACCTAGGGACGAGGCTGGTCGGACCCCAGGAGGGTGCACAGCGTTGTAGAGGCAAAGCCCGAACTCCACGGAAGGTGGTGAACGATCCCAAATCCTGCAAAGTGAGACCCGTCCTTTCAGGTTCCCTCTTAGCCTAGGCACTTCCGGCAGGAGCAGGAAGTGGTGGTTGGGCTCGGAGGAGGCTCTCTAGGTGTGCGGGCCAGCGACTCAGTAGCCGGAAGTCATCCGAGCTGAAGCTGTGGCCACCACCACCGAGCGTGACATCAGTCCTCTGCAGTTAGCAGCCAGTATGGCAGAGCGTGCAGCGCTGGAGGAGCTAGTGCGACTTCAGGGAGAGCTTGTACGGGGACTGAAACAGAAGAAGGCCAGCGCCGAGCAGGTGCGGCTCAGGCGGAAGGGAAGGGCCAAAGCAAGGCCGGGGAGGCCGGAGAGCTGGGGTGGTCTGCACAAAGGACAGGAATGTGAGGGAGAAGGGATTTGGCTGGTTGGCAGAAGGACGAGCTAGGTGGTGAGGCAGGCCGGGGTAGTACCCGCAAGAAGCAAATCTAGGCTTGGGGAGAGAGATCTATTCCGCATCCTGACGGAAGGATACTGAATGAATGGCGGTGGGGGGAGGGGAGCAGCAGATGTGACGGCCCAGCGTCCGCTTTCTCTCCACAGATCGAGGAGGAGGTGGCAAAACTACTGCAACTGAAGGCACAGCTGGGCCCTGATGAAGGGAGACAGAAGTTTGTGCTCAAAACTCCCAAGGTAAATATTCCTTTAGGGAACCCGCTTCCCGAACCAGGTGACACTTAAGATTAATTATCTAAATGCTGAGATGAAATAGCAGTTGCTGTGGGCACCAAACTAGATTAGACTCCACCGGAGTCATTCTGGGATGGCAAAGTAATGGCAGAAACGAAGCCATTGGGTGCTTATGGGAGTCCACCTGCTGTCACTACTCTTTTCATTCCGTAAATACTTGTTCAGTATTTACTATGTGCCTAGCACTGTACAAACCAGTGAGTGTGGCGTGATAAACAATGTAGCCTGTCCTCATGGAGTTTACCATTCTACTGAAGGAAACAGACTTCATACAAATAATCTCACACATGGATGTGTAATTACAAATTGTAGTAAGTGATGTAAAGAAATAATAAGGATGCTCTGAGAAAAATAGGGAGAACTGGGGAGTCTGAAAAAACCTCACTGAAGTGATATACAAACTGACCTAATCGATGAGTGGGAGATATCCAGAGGATGAGTGTGAGGAAAATAGATCCAGGTAGATACGGAAACTCTGAAGCAGGAAAGAACCTTGGTAGTTTCCAAGAACTAGAAAAAGACCTGTATGACTAGACCCAAATAGAGGACAGTGGAGTGGGGTTGGAGATTCCTAGCTCAGCCTCCAGGATTTCGGTCCAGATGCCACCTTCTGTAACTTCTATAAACAGAACTATTTATCCCTTCCTCTGGGTTCTCTCGCACTTTACATCTATCTCTATCACAGTTATTGCTGACTTTTAGTTATTCACATGGTTTATGTATGATGAGAGGCTGAGTCCAGGGACCTGGAACTAAATAGCTATTCAGTGAATGTGCATGTGAAGTCGAACTCCAAAGGAGAGGACTGATGATCTACCTTCCTTATGTCGAGGTGTCCCCTTTTCTATTCTTTTTTTTTTCAGGTTAATTCTTTGGGCTCCTAAGTTCATTGAGGAATTCCTCATTTCAAAGGTCAAGGAGACAGTGTAAAATCCCAAAGTGACAATATAAATGGGGAATTTATGATAGGTCAGAGTGGCCTCACCTAAACCCAGTGATTAATTTTGACATCTCTAAAAGTAGGACAACTAGACATCCTCCTTATGTGATGCAATAAGAAGTACACAGCACCACCTTTGAAGTATTCTTGCCAAGAAAAATTGGTTCTGAATCTAATCAGGTTTTCAGACCTATCAGTTTACCGAAAATATTGGAGGTGGACAAACACGTTAAATGACAGTTTGAGTGTATTGTTAACCAAATCTAGAATGTGAACAATTCCTTAGGACAGAGTACTCAATTTCCTCAAAAATTAATGACTTGCTTTTAAAAAGGAAACTGTTGTAGATTAAATAGACATGACCCATATCAACCAAATACAACACATGGACTTCATTTAGATTCAAATAAGCCAACAATAAAAAGATACTGAGGCAAGCAGAGAAAATTAAACATGTATTGGGCATTAGGGAACAATGAAGGGTTGGTGTTAGGTTTGTTTGTTGTTGTTTTGGCTTTTTGGTTTTGGCTTTGATTTTAATAAAGGTATTGTAGTGTTGGATTTGTTTGTTCGTTTGCTTGTTTAATCTTTATATGTTAAAGAATCATACTGAGCCCTGGCTGCTGTAGCTCAGTGGATTGATTGCAGGCCTGCAAACCAAAAGGCTGCAGGTTTGATTCCCAGTCAGGGCACATGCCTGGGTTGCAGGCCAGGTCCCCAGGGGGTACATGTGCAAGGCAACCACGCATTGATGTTTCTCTCCCTCTCTTTCTCCTTCCCTTCTCTGTCTAAAAATAAATAAAATATATTTTTTTAAAATCATACTGAAATGTTAATGGATGAAATGATAAGAGTTGATGTCTGGGATTTACTTTACAATACTCCAGGAAAAAAATGTTGGGGCTTAGATAAAATAAGAATAACAGATGTTGATGATAGTCGAATCTGGTAATAGATACGTGGTGGTCTATTGTACTTTTTTGTTTTTTTAAAGAGTTTATTTATTTATTTTAGACAGTGGGGAAGGGAAGGAGAAAGAGAGGGAGAGAAACATCAATGTGTGGTTGCCTCTCGCGCACCCCTCTCTGGGGACCAGACCTGGCCCACAACCCAGGCATGTGCCCCAACCGGAAACCAAACCAGCAACTCTTTGGTTCTCAGGCTGGTGCTCAGTCCACTGCGCCACACCAACCAGGGCTGTTTTCTGTAATTTAGTTTAAAATTTTCCATAATATAATGTGAAAAGAAAATAAGATTATACTGGACAGTTAATATTCAGTTTAGTTTGTTGAAACACATTTTTAGGAAATTTTTAAAGTGTGTTGGGGTGACATTGATTAATAAAATTGTATAGGTTTCTATAACATATTATCTGCATTTAATACATCTGTATATAATAATACATCATTGTGTGTTTACCACCCAAAGTCAAATGTCCTTCTATAGGAGGAGATCTTAACACATGTCTCTCTGAAACACATTTCTCAACATGTGATTCATATAAATAACAGAAAACTCAGTATCATGAGGACAGTACTCTTTCAAGGTCCCTTCATGGTCAAAATTATTTTCAGAATGTTAGTTGTCCTTCTTTACTTCATTTGCGGTGAAGGTGCAGGAGCATCGGTGAGCGGAGCTGCTGGCAGTGGCTCAGCACAGAGCAGCAGAACGGCACTCAACTGTGCTGACAGCCGTCGCGTTCCTTAAATGCGCTCACAGTGAAAAAGAACATCCATTTCCCTAAATGTCCTTGATAAAACCGTAAAAATTATTAATTTTATTGAGTCACGACCCTTGAGTACACTTTTTTAATACTCGCTGTGATGAAGTGGGAAGTCCCCACGGAGCACTGTGGCTGCATTCCAGAACGGGAAAAGCACATGTGCCCTCAGACGGGTTGTGCACTCAACTAGCTGCTTTCTTCAGAGGACGTCTTTCTTATTTGAAGGAAAAACTGAAAGATTAACTGTTATTTTAAAGATTACGGGTATTTGGCAGATATTTTCACAAAAATAAATGAAGTTAGCCTTGTCACTTTAAGGAAAACATTTCACAATATTTGTCGTCAGTGATAAAATTCAACTGATCAAGTGTAAGATGGAATTTTAGAAAACTTCTGTCTTCCACCTTCAGCTTGACAGCTTCCCAATACTTAATGACTTTCCTGAAAAGATCTATGGTGATATTAACAAATCTGGTTTTCTAATATTGTGTAATGAAGTGGGTGTACCAACATCTGGAAGATCTGTATAACTTATCAATACACTGATATTTTCCAATAACCAGTGTATGATGTCATAAAATCATACATGGATAAATATCCAAAGTACAAGATAGAGTAATAGGTATTTTTAAAATTGTGGTAAAATATACATAACATAAAATTTGCTGTTTTAACCATATTTAGGTATACAGTTCAACAGCATTAAGTACATTCGCATTGTTGTACAGTCATCGCCACTGTTTATCCCAGAAGTCTTTCATCATACCAAAACTAAATTCTCTACCCCATTAATCAGTAACTCCCCACTCCATCCTCCCTTCAGCTCCTGGTACCCACTGTTCTACTTTCTGTATGAAACCTGGGCACCTTATGTAAGTAATGGATTTTAATGTGACAGTATGAAAAGTTCATTGGTGTAGTTTCGATTCCACATTGTAACCAATCTTTAAGAAACTACCACTTGTTGGATTGGAGTATACTTTGAGAAGAATATCTATAGTTTGCTGAAAAGTTTAGTAAAATATTCCTCTTTTTCACAATTATGGTACATTTCTATGTAAGACTAGATTTTCCTTATATAGTTAACCAAAACAGTATTTTGCAACAGAATCAAATTAAAAAAATAAATTAAAAAGCCCATATGAAAATCCAGCTATCTTCTTTTAAGCTATCTTCTTTTAAGCCGGGCATTAAAGATCTGCAAAAATGTAAATCAATGCCACTCTTCTCACCAATTTTTTGTTGTTGTTGTTGTTCTGAAAAATAGTTACATCTCCCTAAAAATATTATGTTAACATGTAATGGATTTACTGTTAGAGGAATTAATGAATATTTTTAAGTGTTTGCTGTTTTAATTTCTAAAACAATAAATATCGGTAGGTATAGTCCACTTTGGGGTCCTTAATAAATAGTAAGAGTGTACACAGGTCCTGAGATCAAAGATTCTAGAGACCAAACTAGAAGTTATTACCTGGAAGAACAGGGTTCTGGTCCTGACTGCCACGAACCTGCTGAGTGGCCTTAAGTAACAATTTCACTTCTCAACATCTCCTAATTCATCTACAAAAGGCATCTGCCCAGCCCATTCCATAGGGCTATTAGAAACAAATTAGGGAATAGTATTCATTAGGATTTTTTTGGCAGAACGTGTGGTGCTGAGGAGCTAGTGTGACTTCAGGGAGATCTTGTGAGGGGACCGAAACAGCAGAAGGCCAGCGCTGTTGGGAAAGAATGTTACTTTTTAAAGAAATAAATTCTGTTGGGAAAAAATGTTACTTGTAAAATTTGGAGTTCAACCAGTTAAGCCAGTTTGAGTTGGCTACATGCCCGTTATTGGTTGGGTGTTTCCTATGAGACAGGGAAATGTGTTACCCCAGAAAAAAGAGTTTTTAGGAAAACAACTCAGAGAGTAGAGTTCTAAGAATCCTGGAAAATAGAACCAAGCTTAAAAGGGACTGGATGGGACGTAGACAGGTGATAGCAGATGGGTGTGGTGATTAATAGGGAATTACACCGGTTTCACAACTCCGTGGCCTGTAGGAAAATCAGAGTTTGGAAAAAGATTTGCATTCGTCATTGCTGAGGTCATGCTTTTATATTTATAGACGTTATTATTCTTTGTTTTTAAATCCCATCCGTGTTTCTTTTGCTGACTTTGACTCCAAGGGCACAAGAGACTACAGTCCCCGGCAGATGGCAGTTCGGGAGAAGGTGTTTGATACAATCATCAGCTGCTTCAAGCGCCATGGTGCAGAAGTCATTGATACGCCTGTGTTTGAACTAAAGGTGAGGGGTGGGTGAGACACTGCGTGGTGGGAGAGTGGACATGTGAGCAAGAAGAGGGAGACAAAGGTCTCTCCTGTTGCGGACAAAAACCAATATTTTTTCCAATGAGAGAGGGGATGGGACTGACAGAAGGAGAGGCCCTGCTTTTTGTTTACCTTGGTTTTGGCCAACAGCTTTCAAAAGAGAGCCCTTCTCTGAAAGGAGTAGAAGTTGTTTCAGCTTCCATCTATATTGAATTCCATGGCACTTATGTTGAAATGTTTTCTAGATACATGTAAACCATACATATGAAGTATAAATATGCAACCAGTGTTCTATTTAGGGACCCTGCGATTGTTTCCAGTTAATTAAAAAAAAAAAAAAAACAGATTGGGCCCTGGCTGGTGTGACTCAGTGGATTGAGTGCCAACCTACCAACCAAAGGGTCGCCAGTTCGATTGCCAGTCAGGACACATGCCTGGGTTGTGGGCCAGGTCAGGTCCCCAGTGGAGGGCATGTGAGAGGCAACCACACATTGATGTTTCTTTTCCTCTTTTTCTCCCTCCCTCCCACTCTATCTAAAATTAAAAAAAAAAAAAAAAAAGATTGCATCACTCCTTGCTTAAATCCCAGTGATTCCCATTGCATTTATAATAAAATCCAAACACTTTACCCAGCCCTACAAGGCCCTACTTGATCTGGCCACTGCCTACCTTTCCCACCTCGTCTCGTGCCATTTTCTCCCCTGCTCACTATGCTCCCCTGGTCGTCTCTCTGTTCCTGGAACACAGTAAGTGTGTTTCTGTCTCTGGGCCTTCATTTTTACTCTTTCCTTTTTCACCTGAGCTCCCTTATCCCCTAGTGCTGTGCATGATTTTGGTTTCAGATTAAATTACAGATTGCAGATTTTTATCTTCAGATCCCAGCTATAATGCCGTTCCTCAAATAATTCTCTCCAACTACCCTGTTGAAAATAGCCCTTCTCTATCACTGTTTGATTTCCTTTAGAGAAGCTATCACTGTCTGAAATTTCTGTTGATATTTTCTTGCATTAATGTCTCTTCTCACTAGCATAGAAGATCCATGAGGAGTGGACTGCCTTGGTCTCGCTCACTGATGTGTAGTCAGTGTTTGGAATGTACATCAGTGGTTGGCATTTATTCACAGGCTAAGTTCTTAGAAATGGAATTGCTGGACCAAAAGGTTGTACTCATTTATAGGGTACAGCCTTTCTAGGGTTGCCATAACAAAGTACCATAGACTGTATGGCCTAAAAACCCACCAAACAACAACAACAACAAAAAACCCCAGAAACTTGTTGTTGGGAGGCTGGAAGTATGAGGTAAGGTGTCAGCAGTGCTGGTTCTTCAAAGGGCCATAAGGGAAGGGTCTGTTCCAGGCTTTTCCATGGCTTGTAGATGGTGTCCTTTCCCTGCGTCTTCACATCACCTTCCCTGTCTGTGTCCACGTTTCCTATTTTTATAAGGACACGCGTTGTATCAGATTAGGGCCCACCCTGCCGGCTCTTTAACAACCCTATCTCCAAAAGCAGTCACATTCGGAGGTTACTAGGGGATAGGGCTTTAAGACATGAATTTTGTGGAGGACACATTTCATCCCATAACACCAGTTATGAGTGTCTCAACCAGTGTGTGAGTGTCTCTGCTTCTACACACTGGGACTTCTCAGGCATTTTAAACTTTGCCAACTAGTAGGTGAGATAACTTAACTAACTTGCTGAACACATCACAGGGCAAGGACTGCTTTTGACATTGTTCAAGTCTCAGGTGTCATAAAAACATTTATGTTTATTGGTCTAATAGCCCACTCCTAGGAGTTTACTGTCAGAAAAAAATAGTCAAAATAAAAATATACATACCCAACTATATTTACTGAAATGAACATATTAAAAAATTGGAACAACCTAAACATCTAACAGTGTAGCCCTAGGAAGGGAGGAAATCCAGAGCTGCTTCTCACTGAAATATTATACAGCTTTTAAAAATAATACTTCTGCCCTGACCAGTGTGGTTCAGTTGGTTGGGCGTCATTACACAAAACAAAAGTTCACTGGTTCAATTCCCAGTCAGGCCACATGCCTGAGTTGCGGGTTGGGTCTCTGATTGGAGTGTATACGAGAGGCAAGCAATTGGTGTTTCGCACAGATGTTTCTCTCCCTCTTTTTCTCCCCCACATCCCCTCTCTAAAAATAAATAGAATCTTTAAAAAATAAAAAAATAATAATAATAATACTTTTACCCTGGCCCATTTGGCTCAGTGGGTGCAACATCCTGTAACCGAAAGGTTGAAGGTTTGATTCCCAGTCAGGACACGTTCCTAGGTTGCAGGTTCTATCCCCAGTCTGGGCGCGTGCATTCCCAGGAGCATATGATCCTGGGTGCATGTGGGAAGCAACCAGTGTTTCTCTCTCCCATCTGTGTTTTCTCTCTCTCCCATCTGTGTTTTCTCTCTCTCCCTTCCTCTCTAATAAAAAGCAATGAAAAAAATGTCCTCAGGTGAGGATAAATAAAAATACTTAAGCTCTGTCATAAAATGGAAATAGTGATAAGCAGAAAATAAAATTGGTGTTTCCTTTTTAAAATAATCAAATTAAATGCATAAGCATTGGAATAGAGAGCAGAGAAAATATAGGCAAATTGAAACTAGTCACATTAGAGCTTTGGGTTTTGTTTTCAAAACTTCCTTTTAGATTGTTGTATTTATCATTGTGACCACATTTCTTTGTTTTCTTCAGGAAACACTGACTGGCAAGTACGGGGAAGACTCTAAGCTTATCTATGACCTGAAGGACCAGGGTGGGGAGCTGCTGTCCCTTCGCTATGACCTCACTGTATCTTTCTAAACCTGGGCTCTTGTCACTTTGGATGGGGAATTATTCTCTAAACCAGGAGCGGCACTGGAGCGAAACAGAGCACATCCCTAGAAGTCTTCCGAAATCTGAGTGAGAACTCAGCTTTACGTCAGGGCCCAGTTCCAACTGTACCAACAGTCCCCTGGCTCCCGAGTACCTCTCCCCTACCCCGTCCAGCAGGCCAAGTTCTTCATTGACCAACAGCACGTTTCCTTCAGCCCCAGGCTATGCCAGGAAGTCATCTGCTCATAGATCCCACGTGGGGCCCCTTTCTGCTCCCTGGCCGATGTGCCAGCCCCCTGCTCTGCTCAGCACAGCCCAGGGTAGAGACACTACCAATGTGAAAGGAGCCTTAATTCGTTTTTGAGACTTCAGCTGCCCCTTGTGTTAACAAAGTTAATTCTTTCTGATGTTCAGAAGTGCTATTAATCTTATGAGTGGTGGTTTTACCTGCACAGGGAGGGGCTGGACTCCAGTTTCTGCTGGTGATGATAATCAGCTTCCAAGCTGTGATAAAAGGGGCTTTCTCCTTAACTCTTTGTCATCAGGTTCCTTTTGCTCGATATTTGGCAATGAATAAACTCACCAACATTAAACGTTACCACATAGCCAAAGTATATCGGCGGGATAACCCAGCCATGACCCGAGGTCGATACCGGGAATTCTACCAGTGTGTGAGTATGTGGGTAACTTGGCCACCCCTTGAACCAGGAGAGTCTGCTGAGTACTTCTGGTGCCCTGAGCACACTGGATGCCCCAGATAATGCTGACCTTCAGGTTTCTTTGGTATTTTCATGTAGATTTCACAAGGGTCCTGTGGGGAGGGGAGGACAGGAATTATTCTCCCCATTTTATATGTGAGTAAACTAGAGACTAAGCAGGATGAAGAGATCATAGGTATATGAAAGGCAAAATCAGCATTAGAACTCTTGGGCCAGTGCTCTTCATACTATTACCACAGTGACAGGATCACAGCAAAAGACGAGGAAGTTGGATCTGAGGTACCAGATCATCCAGCCTGCTGGGGACTAAGGCTGTAAAGTTGCCCCACAGTGGTAGGAGGAAATGAGGAAAAGTAGATGAGTGAGATGATGAATAACCCAATAGATGGGAAGGAAACCAGGACAGTAAGAGACCCAGTAATGCTGAGTTTCCCTGGGCTGGTGATCAGAGAATGAAGGTCTATGCATGAGAGCAAACTGGCCCTCAGAGAGCAGAGCCCCTGGGAATCCCCTCCTAAGTTAAACCCCCGAGGACCCCTAACTACCCCTCTCCCTACAGGATTTTGACATTGCTGGGCAATTTGACCCCATGATCCCTGATGCAGAGTGCCTGAAGATCATGTGTGAGATCCTGAATTCACTTCAGATAGGTGACTTCTTGGTCAAGGTCAGAACTCAACAAGGCTGGGAGGGCAAAGCTGTGCCTGGCCTCTGACAGGAAAAGCTCTCTGTGCAGAGGGCCCAGTAGCCTAAGTGACCAAGGCTACTGGGGGTCATGTAAAGAGATTCTCTCCTCACTATGCCCTGGGTGCTTGCAGGTGAACGATCGGCGCATCCTAGATGGGATGTTTGCAATCTGCGGGGTTCCCGATAGCAAGTTCCGCACCATCTGCTCCTCGGTGGACAAGCTGGACAAGGTGATGACCAGACACCTGACTCTTTTATTCTCAGGTCCCTCCCCACCTTGAGAAATGGAAAACAAGATAAAGAGGGATGGGGGGCCTGCCTCTGTGCCCACCAGGGGAAAATTAGCCTCAGGACGTAGGTTGAAGGGCAGCTTCTGCTCCAAGATTGCCCTGTGAGGAGGGCCCATACTAGTTCTGTGGTGGGAACTAGTTCTGTAGTCAGGTGCCCGAGGGTCCCTGACTGCTATCTGTGCCCAGGTGCCCTGGGAAGACGTAAAGAGTGAGATGGTGGGAGAGAAGGGACTCGCACCGGAGGTGGCTGACCGCATTGGGGACTATGTCCAGCAGCATGGTGAGGAACAGACCCTGCCTTCCCGGCAGCCATCCCACTGCCCTAAAGCTGCAGCTCCTGTCTGTGTGTATATGTGTGAGGAAGGGAGAGAGAGAAGGGGGCGAGGGGAGGGGGAGAGCAAGCACACGTACATGCGCAGTCCCCGCAGAGATAGATCCCCTACCTTTTTTTTCCAGTCAGTCAGTCTGGTTCACAAATCTGTCTCCCCAGGTGGAGTGTCCCTGGTGGAACAGCTGCTCCAGGACCCTAAACTGTCCCAAAACAAGCAGGCCTTAGAGGGCCTGGGAGACCTGAAGCTGCTGTTCGAGTACTTGACCCTGTTTGGCATCGCTGACAAGGTAAGGCTGGGGATGGGCACCCCGGCTGAGCTTGGGGGCTTCGGGTCCTTGACCCTCATCTGGTACTGACCATGTTGTTGTCCCCACAGATCTCCTTTGACCTTAGCCTTGCTCGAGGGCTGGACTACTACACCGGGGTGATTTATGAGGCAGTGCTGCTACAGACCCCAACCCAGGCCGGGGAGGAGCCCCTGGGTGTGGGCAGTGTGGCCGCTGGAGGGCGCTATGATGGGCTGGTGGGCATGTTCGACCCCAAAGGGCGCAAGGTGCCATGCGTGGGGCTCAGCATTGGAGTGGAGCGGATCTTCTCCATCGTGGAGCAGAGGCTGGAGGTGAGTAGAAGACAGCCTGGGTAGGTGGTGGCCCCTGAGCTATCTTCTTTGGTCTCCAAGGGGGCAGGTGGGGCCACTTTGGGCAAGGAGCATCTTTGCAGAGAAAGAGAGAAAAGGTGGGCACTGCTTCATGGACTCCTGCTCCACTGTAGGCCGGGTCTGTGGTTCTGACCATTCTTTTCTCACAAAGTGTCTTTCTCGGGCCCGCTTCCCTCGAAGCTGTCAAGAATCTGGGCTGGGGTATCTAACAACTCAGATCTTCCTCGTGATACAGAATACTTGATAGTTTGCTCCTCTCTGCCAGGCACTGCGCTTAGTGTTTTTCATGCATTATCTAATAATATTCCTACACCAGCCCCCTGAGAGTAGCTACTTTTACTATTTACATTTTTCAGATGAAGGAACTGAAGATTAGAGATAAAATATTTTACCTAAAGTCATGAATCTTTTAAGTGGCAGAGTCAGAATTTGAATCCAGGCAGTCCAACTTCAAAGTCTTGCTGCTAGCCATGCTGTGACAGTCTCAGCGTGGCTAGGGAGTGGGAAGCATGTGTATGAGGCCCTGAGGTCCCTCAGGTGGCTGTCCTGACTCCCCAGCACCTAGAGTCACCCCAGGGAGGCCCCTCATGGTCCCAGGCGCTCCTCTGTTACTGCTGCTCTTAATTAACTGGTTGTATTTCATTTCCTGGAGAATGTTCTGGCAGTGACCTTCCCACTGCCACATCCTTTTTCCTTGGGTGGATACCTCCCATGTCTCCCGGCTGAGTCCCTGTTCCAATAGGCATCTTGTATTTTAAGAACTATGAAAATAGTCTTCCAGAAAAAGACAAGGGGCAGCAGCAGCCTCCTCCCTTCCTCCCTATCCACACCCTGGGTTGTACCCTATGGGCTCTACCCTCCTGGCTGGGCAGATAGTAAGTGGGAACCAGAACTCCAGGGGTGATGGGATTGCATGGTGGGCTCAGTATCTCTTCGGAGTAACTACTCTTAGGGGCCCTTATGGTAAACGGAGATAAGCTAGAAGGTACTACAAATAAGCTATCTTTGCCTTTGCCCTAGGTAATTTATTCTGGCAAGTCACATGTATAAGCCAGTCAGTTTATTTCTCATATCATTGAAGAACTACCTGATGCTCAGTTGCTACCTGATGGAGCTGGCTGAGTTATGCCTGACAAGGGCCTGCTTTCTTTGCTCCTTGAAGGTGTTATAAAGGGTGGCCCAGCTCTGACTCTTATCTGCACTTTCCTCAGGCTTCGGAGGAGAAGGTGCGGACCACAGAGACACAGGTGCTTGTGGCATCTGCTCAGAAGAAGCTGCTGGAGGAGAGACTGAAGCTCGTCTCGGAGCTATGGGACGCCGGGATCAAGGTATAGGAGGCAAGCCCTGGGGTGGCAGCCAGCGGGCATGCTGGGCCCAGACTAAGTAAAAGCTTGGCCACAGTGACCCTGCTGGTCTGTGATTTCTTGGGGTGGACCGAAGAGCACAGTGACAGCTTGGGCCCCCAGGAGGTTATCCGTGAGGACGGCAGAAGTCAGCCTTCATCTTCTGCCTGGGTCCCCTGCAGGCTGAGCTGCTTTACAAGAAAAACCCAAAGTTACTGAACCAGCTACAGTACTGTGAGGAGGCAGGCATCCCACTGGTGGCCATCATAGGTGAGCAGGAGCTCAAGGACGGGGTCATCAAGCTCCGTTCGGTGGCCAGCAGAGAAGAGGTAAGTTGGCGGCAAGAAGGCTGCGGGACAGGGAATGGACTCCCTTTCAGCAGGTCAGTGCCCTTTCAAGACCTGAGCAAAAGCCTGGCATTCTTGTTAGTACCCACTTGCAAAGGACTTAAGGGCTTTTAACCTGTAATTAGGGCCACAGTAGGATAAAGACTCCATCCCCACAGGCACCCTGCGTCTCTGGCTCCCCCAAGTAGCACTGTTCACCCTGAACGCTGGATTGGGTCCCTGCTCCCTGGATTGGGTCCCTGCTCCCAACTGAGCCAAGCCTGATGTCTGAGGAGGGAGTGGGCTCTCAGGAGCAGTGGAGTGGAAGATGCTCATACATACCACTCTCTTCCCCTATCCTGGGCAGGTGGACGTCCGAAGAGAAGACCTTGTGAAGGAAATCAAAAGGAGAACAAGCCAGCCCCTTTGCATCTGCTGAATCAACTGAGGAAAGTGGGACAGAGACTACTGGGGCTCAGACAAAACTCTACATACATACTCACAGATCTGCACGCTTCTGTTCCAGCAGGAATACCTGAAGGGTAGTCTGAACAGAGACTTTTTATTTTTATTATTATTTTATTAGTAATCACAGGCTAAAAAGGCCAGGAACTGTGCCATTTTTCCATAGGAGGCCCTGGGGGCTCAGTCCAGTCTGGGGTACAGGGACAGCCTCCTCTGCAGGGCCTTACACCAGGTGAAGAAACTGCTCCCCCAAACCAGTTGCCAAAGGTGCAATAAAGTATCTCAACCACTGGAGCCTGCCTGTGTCGCTATTGCATAGTCCTGCCTTTCCTGTCAGAGCCGGACCACTTTCGCGGTGGAAAATGGGGAGAACGACTTACAGCAGGCTCTCGCCCAGGGTGAAGGGTGCCCCCCTGCGTCCTTGCCTCCAGCACCCCTCCGTGCCGGTTTGCCAGCTGTGTCTTTGGAGCTGGGGCGGCCTGCAAACTCAACCGCCAGCGTTTCTAACTTTCACCTGAGGGTCCCGGCACACGTGCGGCAGATACCCCCACCCCCTCTTGGGAGGCGGGGCCCTGCTCAGAGCCAATGAGAGCTTCGGGGGGTGGAGGGGTAGGGAAGCTTCCAGAGGCAGCCAGGGAGGAGGTTTTAAAAGGGAGCACCGACGGGCCCACAAGAGAGCCATGCAGTCCAAGCGGGAGTGCGAGGTGAGTGGCAACGACAGTGGACAAGTCCCACCTGCGCGGGGAGTGGGGTGGGGGCGCGCACGGTGTTCCGCCATTGCAACTTGCCCCTTCCCCTTCAGCTGTGGTGTGAGAGGGTGAATCCGGAGAACAAGGCGGCGCTGGAGGCGTGGGTCAGGGAGACGGGCATCTGCCTGGTGCAAGTGAACGGGCAGAGGAAGTATGGCGGGCCACCCCCAGGTACACTAGTCACAGTCCTACGCCTACTGGGCTACACCAGCCTCAGTGGTCCTGACCGGCTCCTTTGGGGGAGGCGCTTACCCCGATTTTCCACAATCGGAACCTCTTAACTTCACCTTACCCCCTCCCCCAGCAAAGGTGGAAACGCCTTGCCTGTGGCTTTCCACCTAGCAGCCCCCTCAAGGAATGGAGCGAGTCTGAAGGTGCACCTACTGTGTGCCAGTCCCGGTTTACCCTAATCACCCACGTATGCCCAAAACCCGGGGGTACAGATGTTGCACCCATTTCACAGACATGTACTCACACGGTCCCTCCCGTGCCGGGTCCGGGGGCCCCCACCCCGGGACTTCCTGGCGGATGATGGTGCCTTCCATTCCCTTCCCCCAGGCTGGGTAGGCAGCCCGCCGCCGCCCGGGTCGGAAGTGTTTATCGGTAGGCTGCCCCAGGACGTGTACGAGCACCAGCTGATCCCACTGTTCCAGCGCGTGGGCCGTCTCTACGAGTTCCGCCTGATGATGACTTTTAGCGGCCTGAACCGCGGCTTCGCCTATGCCCGCTACAGCTCGCGGCGCGGGGCCCAGGCCGCCATCGCCGCGCTGCACAACCACCCGCTGCGGCCCTCCTGCCCGCTGCTCGTGTGCCTCAGCACCGAGAAGTGTGAGCTGTGTGTAGACGGGCTGCCACCGGCTCTGACCCGCCGCGCGCTGCTGCTCGCGCTGCAGCCGCTGGGCCCTGGCCTTCAGGAGGCGCTGCTGCTGCCCAGCCCCGGGTCGGAGCCCACACAAATGGCACTGCTCAAGTTCAGCTCGCACCGTGCCGCGGCCATGGCCAAAAAGGCTCTGATGGAAGGTAGGAGTGGAGGCTGCTAGGGGCCGCTGGTTGGGGCAAGTGTTCTGCCAAGTACTTTACCGCTCACGGCGAGCAGCCGAAATATCTTAGGGTCAAGAATACCTGAATTTGTAACCTTACACTATTTATTTGAACTCAGATTTTTAAATTCCCAGTGGCACTACCGCTGACCTAAACTTAACTTGCTTCGAATTTATATCCTGGCTTAACCCTCAACAGTCCAATTTAAAACACACACAGACTCACACAATGACCTCCCTCTGTAGGGAAGGATTGTTTTACTGGAATTTACTTGCCCAAGGCAGTGCAACTGAGACTTGTATCCTGTGAGAATTAAGGGGGTACTTAGCACATTCGGGGCAAGTTTTCACAGTAAAGATGAGCTATTTTATGATTATGCAGTGGGTAAAACTAGCATTTACCGGTACACCTCCAAGAAAATTTAGAAGGCAGCAATTATTACACCCTCTTTACAAATACAATGAAGCCTTAAGTCACTGAATATGCCAGAGGTCACACCACCTGGAAATGGGAGGCTGGAGATTAAAACAGGCTGGGGCTTAGCCCAGGGCTAAGAACTGTCTTGCCTTTGCCTTTTTCCTGCAGGGCAGTCACGCCTCTGTGGAGAGCAGGTGGCTGTGGAGTGGCTCAAGCCAGACCTGAAGCAGCGACTCCGCCAGCAGCAGGTTGTGGGGCCCTCCTCAAGGGGTCTACAGCCAGAGGGTAGCCAATTGGTGCTGGCTAGGGACAAGCTAGAGTCCCAAGGGGCTCGAGCTGCCCTGCAGCTGCTGTGCCAGCGGATGAAGTTGGGCAGCCCAGTGTTCCTCACCAAGTGCTTGGGCACAGGCCCTGCTGGCTGGCACCACTTCTGGTACCAGGTGGTGATCCCTGGGCATCCAGTGCCCTTCAGCGGCCTCATCTGGGTGGTACTGACCATGGATGGGCAGGATGGGCATGAGGTAGCCAAGGATGCTGTGTCTGCACGGCTCCTGGAGACACTGAGTGAGTCTGGGGACAGCCTCCCGTGGCCTGCTGGAGCTGAGGCAGGTACCATGGTTAAGTAGTAACCCCATTGTCTCCACAGGCAGCCTGAACAAGTAGGCAGAGCCTGTGTCAGTCTCCAACCCAGCAGGCCTGGGTAGCCACCATCTGATCCCCAAAAAAGGGGAGGAGCCTGGGCCCTGCCCTGAGCCTGACAGCCTCCCAGCTGGGGCACAGCCCCAGTGCACCTAGGGACAGCTCAGGTTTGGCTAAGCTGTGGTGAGGGACCTTGCCCTCCCTCCCATTCCCAGCCCAGGGTTTTCCTTGGCCTTTCTGTGTGACACACACAGCCTCTCTGTCTCCTCCCACAGCTTAGCGTGAATCTTTGCTCATTTTGTTGATTTGTCTTTGTTGGTTTTTATTTCGGGGAGGGCTGAGCCAAAGGGTCATAAATCTGCCATTTGTCCCCACCAGTTGGCATTTTGGTTTTGGTGTACGTGTATTGTTGGTTGGTTTTTCTATGCTGGTTGTATTTATATTAAACCCCTGGTTGGTGTACACCTGTGTCCGTGCCGTCTTGCCCCAGCTGTGGACTTGGCTTACACTGGTGGTGTGAGCAGCCCTGCTTCCCCACAGTCCCGAGCCCGTCTGCCCTTCTCCGTCTGCCGCACAAGAGGGTATGATATCCGCACAGCCTCTGGGGATTCAGCCCAGGGAGCAAGACTCTTGCCCAGTGAGGACCTGTCTTTGAGATTCAGCTCATTCCCTCAGTCACTGTCGTCCTCACTCTCCTCTTCCTCCTTTTCCTCTTCCCTCAGTCCTGCAAAGAAGTCATCAGTGCTCCAAGCCTTGCTGCTCAGCGCGCGAAGCGGCCCTCCCTTTTTTTTACGCCGACGGTAGTCATTCACTACCACAGCCCGAGACTGGGCCATGTCCCAAAACTTGAGGCACTGGTCATGGCCACTGCTGGCCAAGAAGCGGCCGCAGTGGGAGAGGGCCAGCTTCTCCACGGGCTCCCCGGTGTGCTGGCCCACAGTGCCCACCACGCGGTTCGGCAAGATGTTCACAGCCCTGGGTGGAGGGAAAAGAGTGTTGGGTATTGGCTGGTTAGGCCTACCCTTCCTGTGACCTGAGGGCCTGGCCCCTCTCACCTGATAACTCCATCAGTGGACCCAGTGCACAGCAGACTGTCGGTGACCGCAACCATGCAGTCGATGGACTCGGCTCTCAGGGCAAAGCGGTCACTTGTGGCCCCAAAGCCATTCCAGTTGAAGAGGTAGATGGTACCTTCACTGGAGCCACAGGCCACCTTCCTCCCACACTACAGAGAAAAAAGGACAAACCATGTTTGTGGACCATGTCAGACCAAGTCCCTAGCACACCCACAGGCCACCATACCCAGCAGTACTTTCATGATTGTGACAGAGGTCAGGTCTCCAGACTGAGGTTCTGAAAGCAACTCAAACCGGCGTCGCTTGATATTGAAGACACCAAGGCAGCCATCCCCACTGGAGAGAAAGCAGAGCAGTAGGCTTGGCCAGAGGCTCCCCTTGAGGGAGACGTTTAACACAGGGAAGGGAGGGCAGGCAGCTTTGGGCTGTACCTGGCTGTCAGCAACAGCTTCTTGGCTGGGTCCAGAGCCATGTCAGCAATGTACTCCTCATGCTGCCGCATATCCATTACGGGGCCCTCCTTCCGCTGGTCCCACAGCCGGATGCCACCTGTGTCATCCCCAGTGGCTAGGACATTCTCATCCACCAGCAGCAGGCTGTTGATTGGGGCACTAGAGGCACAGGTGCAGGCGTTATTGGAGCATGTTTGTCCCAGCAGGGAGCTAGAGTCCTTACCCCTCACCTCAGTGCACAGCTGGTTCCCCTTACCCATGCGCCTTGGAAATACGTCTTTCCAGTCGGCCCTGCTCCACATCTAGAACATGGATGGCTTTATCCTTGGATACAGTAACAAGTTCTGGGGGAAAAGGTGGCCAGGTCGTGGTGCTGCTCACTGCTCCCTTCCCATCAGCACACTGCCTTCCCTAATACTCACTCTGCCCATCTTCAGAGAAGACCACAGCACGGCAAGACTTGAGGTGGTGACCTGAGGACCAGAGCTCCTTAGTTTCTCCCTCTTGGCAGGAATAGGAAAACCTTGGGAGAGGTGGAGGAGAATGAATGACCCCAGACCCTGCCTGGGACGTACCATCTACCTAGGAGTTCCTGCTGGTACAGCTCTAAGCATAAAGAGCTTACCATCTCATTTTTCCATGTTCAGTGAACTCCAAATGTTAGGTCTTTTTCTCATTTGATAAACGGTAATTCAAAGTACATTTGTTTGGGACGTCTTTGTGATGTCACCCCACCCCTCTTCATCATCCTTACAAGCCCCAGCCTGAAGAAATATTAGGTCAGGACCATTGTAAATGCCCAGAAATATTTGTTAAATTAATGACACCCTGGCTGGTGGCTTGGTTGGATTGTCGTTCTGTACAATAAAAGGTTTCAGGTTCAAGCCTAGGTTGTGGGTTTGATCCCCAGTTGGGGTGGGTGTGGCAGGTAATCAATCGATGTTGCCTTCTAACATCAATGCCTCTCTCCCCCCGCCCCCAACTTCTAAAAATCGATAAAAATATCCTTGGGTGCCCTGGCTGGTGTGGCTCAGTGGATTAAGCAACAGCCTTTGAACCAAAAGCTCGCTGCTTTGATTCCCACTAAGGGCACATGCCTATGTTGCAGGCCAGGGTCCCAAATGGGAATGTGCAAAAGGGTACCAACTAGTTGCTATTTCTCTCCTTCTCTTAAAATAAAAAAATAAAAAAAAATAAAAAAACATGCTCTGGCTAGTGTGGCTAAGTGAACTGAGTGTTGGCCTGTGAACCAAAGGGTCACCAGTTCGATTCCCAGACAGGGCACACGCTTGGGTTGTGGGGCCAGGTCCCTGGTGGGGGGTACATGAGAGACAACCACACACTGATGTTTCTCTCCCTCTATTCCTCCCTCCCCCTCTCACTGGAAATAAATATTTTAAAAAATTGAACGACAGGACGGCCCTAGAAGCTGGAAACATAAAAGATCATTAAGACAGGGTTCTTGCGCTCCAGGTCTTAGGGAGCTAGAGAAAGCCACTGTTAATTGTGGCACACTGTGACCACACACTGAAAAGAAGCCAGGCTCAAAATGCTCGTGGCACAGAGGTACCAGCCTGTAAACTCAGCAACAGAAAGCACCTGTCCAGAGAGTATCCCCACTGCCTGCCTCATCCTTAAAAGGGCCAAATGAATAAGTACTTAATTGCCACCGAGTTCCAGGTGGGCAGAACTGGGCTCCATCCCAGTGCCTAGTATGAAAGGGCTGCTTAATAAAGTCACATTTTTTTAGTGAATAAGACAAGCATTCAAATAATTACAAACCGATGTATGATTATAAACCATTATGACGTTTATCAAGGAAAAGACATCTGGTGCCAAAGCAGCATCTAATTGGTAATCTAATTTAGTCTGGGGTTATGTGGGAGAGTGAAGAGATGCTGAGAACTCAGGGACGGGAGGTACAAGTGAGAGGAGAGGAGTTTTCTAGGCAGAAAGAAGAGCGTGCAAAGGAGCTGAGGCTTCAAGGTATAATGGTAAAGATGAATAAGCACAGAAACTAGAGGAGAAAGCAAGCAAGGGCCAGAGGGTCAAGGATTTTAGACTTAATCCTAAAAGCAAAGGTAAACTATTCAAAGGTTTAATCAGGGAAGTGAGGTGGTTGAGCTTGTGTTTTCAAAAGATCAATTAAGCACGAGAGGATCCGAGCTGCGCAAGTAAGCAAGAAGCAGAAGGTCCCGCTGAGCTCGTTTCTGACCCGTGTAATAATATGGTGAGAAAGGGTGCCCCAAAAGCCTTCTTGTCCAGGTACTTACTGTCTCTATGCGCCCTCACATTACAGTCACTTCGTCGTTTTGTGTTCTTTCAAGAGATTTGTGTGGTAACTTGTTTAAAGTTGAATGTTAACAAACGAATCAGACTAGATGAGTCTTGCTAAATTTGTCTCCCTGCACTCTCCTCTCGCCTCCCAGCTGCATCCCTGGGGAGTTTCTTGACCCGGCAGCCCCCTCACCCACCACGATCACCACGTCCCCGGTCCTACCGTGCACCTACACAAACACGTCCCCGTCCACGTCCCCCGCCGCCAGGAGGTCACGGGACGGGTGGAATGCCAGCCCACTGGCTGGTGCTTCCAAAACGATGTCTTCAGGGGTGTCCCGGGTACGGGCCGGTACTTCCGGGGAGTCGGAGTCCTCCTCGTCGCTCCTGTCCTCCGCGGACCTCTCCTCACACGTGCAATCCATGCATGAGAGGATCCGAGCTGCGCAGCAGTGGAGCAGTGAGCCCAAGACCCAGGGACCCGGCAGGAGTCAGTAGCTGAGCGCACCACTTCCGTTCGAGGGGCCGGATGGAAGGGGGCGGGTCAGGAAGTGGTTCCAGGAGTTCTCCGTAACCAGGAAGAGGCGGGCCGCGGCAGCCGGTGTGGGCGGACCGACCCTACAGGCCACGCCCCTGTGGCCCGTTACTTTTGGGTGTTGATACCGTCTATTTCTAGGCCAGCTGGACCGCATGGCCATCAATCCTCTCTTTAGTCACGTTTGTCCTTCCTCCTCATTCTGACCCATGCTGTGTTTGGTACAAGCTCCTTGTCAGCCTAAGAAACATCCACACTTGTAGAGAATTTTTACGAGTTTATTTGAGCCAAACGAAAGGCATATGCAAGGGAGCAGGATCTCAGATGTTCCGGAGAATGACGATTTTGCAACTTTTTTTATGTATTTGAAACTAAAGAGGGAATGTAAGCAAGATTACATGAAGGTGGGAGAAAGCAAGATTGGGAATGGATTATAGCACAGGTGGCAAACACAAGGCCTGTGGGCTGAATCTAGCCTTCCACCTTGTTTTATCCCATGGGGCACCTTGTTTCTACCCAGTGACAGCTCCGAGCTCCTTGCCCCTAGTTAAGGAGTAGTTACATTTATACAGGCCTAAAATTACATTCAGCCCTTTGAAGGCAACTGCCAGGTTGATGTGGCCCCCAGTAAAAACGAGTTTGACACCCCTGGTATAGGATTTTTAACAGGATTATGTGCTCTCTTGAGGATGATTATTTCAAAGATGTATTAACCTAGATGCACAGAAACAATGCACAGGGCTTCCTCACGGCAAAGATAAACCTTTTACTAAAGTCTTAATATGCCTGGGGTGTGACTACCCACCGTGACCTGCCATTTAGGAACTTATGATCAGATAAGCCTGTGAAGTTACTCTCAATAGAACCCCGTTTTCAGTTCACATCCCCAACTAGTAAGGAGGGCTGAATGCCCTCAGGATTGGAGAGAGGAACTCCAGTAGTTCATGGCTTGGTGAAACCCACAACTGCAACAAGCATCAGCCAGGTTGGTAAGGAAAAAGCAAAAGCCCACACCACAAGGATTTCACACAATGAATCATGGAGCCCTGTGCATGCACATGCGTAAGTTGCTGACTTCCACGTGCAACATCTTCATGACTGAACAAACAGCATCGTGTCCATTCCTGCAGTTAGGCTGCAGACCCTCCCTGAGTGGGCCAGGCCAGCAGTGCTCCGAGCTGGCAGGGAGTTGCTGAAGAGGAAAATGGGCACAGTTGTTTTGGACACTCCAGTTAACAAAGGTTCTACAGACAGGAGCACCCTGCAGGGTAGGGCTGATAAGGACCAGGGGCTCCTCTGACTGAAGAGAACCTTCTCACATCACTGTGGCATTAAACCTTCTAAGACATCTCATATATTGATTCCCAGTCACCTTAACAGAGTTAGGACCTCAGAGGTTATATGGGAGTCCTTATGACTAGTTTCCAACCAGAGGATCTGTCACAAGAATTGGTAGTACTTATAGATTTTAAACTGGCAGTCACCCCCCAGGTCTTCATCTTAGGACTTTCTAGGTATCTGCACTTCCACCAGGTCTCTATGACCTTTTTCCTCACTGGGACAGCTACCTACAACCATGGAACCTGGGTGTCATTTAACACCTGAAACTCTAGGTGCTATTGCAAACAAGGTTTGGTTTCAGCCTCTGAAATGCCCTGGCCCTATCAAGATTAAAGTGACCAAAGGCAACGGCTATGGTGGTCCTCTAGCTTTCTTTGAATTTGGTAAGCACACAGGTTTTAGTCTTGGAATAGACAGTATGGATTTATGAGTACGAGACGCAAGTGCTGGCAATGGGCCGAGTGGAAGAAAAAAGCAGGGTTGAAGTGATCTGGAGGCCACCAGGAAGCCCATCCTGGGCCTCAGGAAACTCTACAGGGTGTTGAAGGGCACACCAAAATCTCTGGGCCTAGCACAGGGATTCAAAGTACTTCCTCAAGGTTATCCCCTCAGCCAGGAAAGCAGTGACATGTGCTTAGAATTACTAAAGCCCCCAGGAGAGCATAAATTCATAAAAGGTTTTTGTTCCCACAAGTGATTCTCATCAGGTGCCTTCACCTAGCACTGTCATGTGCAACTTTGGGATCAGACTGACAGCCCACTGGGCCGACCCTAATTCCCAGGGAATCTCTGCCACAAGAGTAGACCCCCAAATGGGTCTAAATGAGTCTAACATTTGAGACCAACCGTCCTTACATTCCTCTATCCATCTCTTGCTCGTCAGTGAGGGCCGTTCCACTCTCCACTCCACACCCTGCCTAGTAAACATCCTTACTGCCTAGGGATCCAGAGCCATAGCTCACAAAAGGACTGAGCTGACTTTCTGCATGTGATTTTATACAATCAGTAGAATTAATAGCCCTCTTGGTGCCTCAGGGACCCTGGAGTAGGGATGCTCAATATAGAGGAGGCAGAAGATTAACCGATTTTAATGGAACCAAATGATTATACAGTATTTTATATACATTCATGGATAAAAACAAAAAACCCTTGCAACTTCTTTGGAAATTGTAGAAAGCAAGCAGTGGGGAGCATATCCTTGTAAAGATTCTTCTTGGAGTTGGAACTAGAGATTAGTATTTTGGTCTTTTTACTTCAACCCTGCAATAGGAGAAATGAGTCAGCATAAGATCAATAAACTGAGCAATTCCCCAGTCCCACAGAGGATGAATACGGTGCTCACCCATCAGCTTCCATCTTCTTCCTCTTCTCAATGATCTGCAAGAAGGAGTTAGAGTAGACAGTTTTAACAGTGCCAGTCTAAGGTTCCCGAGGCCAAGGCTGATCCCTCTCCTACTTCCATGGCTCGGCCACCCCTTTCCTATTCCTGGACGGGTGGACCAGTGTCTCCTCCCAGTTGAAACCCTCCCACCAGAGAGGCAGTCTCGTTTACCGCACTAATTTTTTTCCACTGGCGATCAAGCTCTGCCTTGTCATTGGTTTCCTTGAAGCGCCTGGTTTTCCGCCCCTCAGACATTTTGATGCCATACTGGAATGCAGCCCTAAGTGGGGAAAAAGGGCGATTGGGAGAAGCAGCGTCAGTTGCATAGCACTAGCAAGGTGATCCCAGAGAGCCCTGTGAGCAGAGAAGCTACATGGAAATGTCTCAGCCAGACTATACCCTCTATCCTGGTGTGGAGCTAGTCCACCCATCACCACTCCTCTCCTCACACCCTGGCTGTATTTAGTACCAACTCACTTGGGCAAAGCTTCCTTGTTGTTCATATACTCGCTGTATTCTTCCTGGGTATCAAAATCCCAGCGACCCAAGGGGCCCTTCTTGTTACCCTGTTGCAGGACAGAATGGAAGACCGGAGAGGAAGAGATATCAGGAGAAATGGAATTTTAGCCCTTGATTAAAGCCAGGCTCTCTCACAATCCCAGATAGCCTCATTTATAAATCCTACCTTAACAACAACAAAAACACAATAAAATGCTTACTATGCACTTATTATGTGCCAGGCATTATTCTAAACACTGAATACCTATCTTACTTAATTCTCTCAAAACCACTATTAAAATATATTTCTCTCCATTTTCCTGATGATAAAACTGAGGCATAATCAGTAAAATAAGTTGGCAAGGTCATAAAACTAATAAATGGCAGAGCCAGAATCAAACAAGGCCCCAAGATGGAATTAAATCATGCTCTTAACCACTACAGTATAGAGAGAACAAAGAAAAAGTAGACGAAATGTCTTTACCATTAATGGTCTGTTTGTTGGGTTTTAAGAGTTGGAGAAAAATTCCAATACTGGTGGGCTAGAATAAACTCCATTATTTTCAAAAGACTGCAATTCCTTCTGTACTCTCTACCAATACACTAGGACTTGCTTACTGCCTAGGATAGAAATCACAGCCTGGCATGTTGTGGGAAATAAATAAAGAAATATATTTTTGGTTCTATCTCACTTGATTTTCATACAAACACTTTGAAACAGTGAAGCAGCCTATGGCCCCACAATGCTGCTGATCCCATTACTGCAGCTGAGGGAAGGTGAGGACAAGTAAATGAGACACCGATCTTTTGGGAGTGGGGAAAGGGGAAATGTACTATAGAGTTAACTGCCCGACAGGCCCCGCCCATCCTTATAACTCCATACCTGGTCCATTTTGCTATAATCAACCTCCTCGTCACTGTCTACAGCCATGTCATCCATCCTAAGGAGAAGCAACAGTTGAACAGATGGTGCAGACCCATACTCCTGTGCTCCATCTAGAAACCTATCCTACCGAGAAACTATATGCCTAGGGATGACCATCCCCCTAGACCTCCCACCCAGAGCCTAATAGAATAGTTCATCCAAGTAAAAAGTACCCATGGATCCCAGCAGATCAAATTTCCCCTTACTCCATCCCTCTACTCCCACCCAAACTTGTTCTCCAATCATGCCAGCCTCCCCTCACAGAGTCTCACGTACGTGGCTGGGTAGCACTCAGCATAACTGTTGGACATGCCAAAGAAATCTCCTAGCTGCTTCTTGTCCTCTGGCTTCTTCAGCATATGCTATGTTAAAGATAATAAGTCTGCCTGTAGCAGAAAAGTTGCAAGCAAGTAAGGCCAAGGGTTAAAAGCAACACCATGAAAACTCTAAAAGGACTGTGAACTTGAATGAGTTCTCTCACAAAGGGAAAAGTCACGACGACTTCATCCTGATCAAAATTAACACAAAAGGGAAGAAGCGGGGCTGTGGGAAAGCAGGCAGGCAGGTGGAGTTGGAATAAAAAGAACAATTCTGCCCTGTGTAGCTGGTGTGGCTCAGTGGATTGAGTGTTGGCCTGCAAACCAAAGGGTCACCAGTTCGATTCCTAGTCAGGGCACATGCCTGGGTTGTGGGACATGTGCCCACATGTAGGGGATGTGCAAGAGGCAACCACACATTGATATTTCTCTCCCTCTATTTCTTCCTCCCTTCCCCTCTCTGAAAATAAACAAACAAAATCTTTAAAATAAAGAGAAAGGCCCTGGCTGGCGTAGCTCAGTGGAT